GATGATGATGACGATGACGATGACGATGACGATGACGACGATGATGATGATGACGATGATGATGATGATGGTGATCATGATCATGATGGTCATGATGATCATGATGATCATGATGATTATGATGATCATGATGATGCTGCTGATGCTGTTGATGATGCTGATGCTGATGCTGATGCTGCTGCTGCTGCTGCTGATGATGATGATGATGATGATGATGGCGGTCGTGGTTGTGGCTGTTACGATGGTTATGGCGATTGTGATGATGCTGATGATGATACTGATGGACGGTGACAGGTTTGGTGACAGTCATGGTGATGTTGCTGCTGATGATGGTGATGATGGGGATACTGTTGATGTCAATGCCGACGTTTCTCATGCCAATGATGAGGCTGATGATGATGAGTATGACGATGATGCTGCTGAAGCTGCTGATGATGATGCTGGTGATGCCGATGTTGGTGATGATGATGACGATGATGCTGATGACGATGATGATGACTATGGTCATGCTGCTGCTGTGAATGATGAGGATGCTGACGACGATGGTGATGACGAGTGCAATGATGCTGCTCTGACTGCTGATGATGCTGATGATGATGATGGTGATCATTATGTGGTTGATGGTTCTGGTGATGACGATGCCTATGATGAGACTGATAATGGTGATACTGTTTATGATGCTGATGATGATGGTGACGCTGGCGGTGATGGCAACAATGGTGATGACTATGCTGATTATGATGATGCTGCTGCTCATGATAGTGACGCTGATGACAATGATGATTATGATGATGCTGATGATGATAACTTGGTAACTAGGTGGATGAGGGGGACGAGCGTTGTGATAATGCTGACGAGGATGATGCGCGTGACGAGTATGCTGCTGGTAAGGATGATGCTGATTCTGATGATCATAATGAAGACGATAAGATGATGATGATGATGATTATGATGATGATGATGTTGATGATCATGATGACGACGATGTTGATCATGAGTATGATCATGATGATGTTGATGCTGATGATGATGATGAATTATTATTGCGATGACGATGACGATGACGATGATGCTGATGATGATGATGATGATGATGATGATGATGATGATGATGATGTTGCTGATTATGATGATGATGCCAATACGCTGATGATGATGGTGGTGTGGTGATGATGATGATGATGATGATGATGATGATGATGATGATGATGATGATGATGATGTTGCTGAAGACGATGATGATGATGATTATGATGATGATGATGAGGAGGAGGAGGAGGAGGCAGCGAAGGAGGATGATCTCTGTAATCAGAAGAGTTGGTGGCCTTGAGTCCATCCATCTTGTGTGGACGGCCCCCTCTTCGGTCCATCCTTGGAGGGCCTCTCGGGGCCTGTCTTTCTGGCTCGGGGACCGTTTCGGAACGACCTGAAGGGTTCAGTGCTCCCAAGAACCCACAGGTGAGACTTTGCAAAATCAAAGCAGCGGCCACGCATATGTTCATTTCGCGATTTTGGTTTCTGGGGCTGGCCCTCGCAGGGCTTGTCCACTTTTCTGTTCCCTTTGTTTCTTCGTCTGCGTTGCTCTCTCCCCTTTTTTTGAGAGGACTTTGTGTCGCCATTACGTTTTTCGCGAGCACTCGAGTCTGGTAGCGCACCAACAGCAGCTTCTCTCCTCGCCTTGTTTTAGCCTCCTGGACGGCCCTCGTCGCTATGGCTGAATTCGCTTCGGAAGGATGGTCAGAACGGGCCCCGTAAGTTGGTCCAGAGAGTTTTCTTCGGAGCCTCCTGCCCCACCCTGGGAGCTCCTGGGGAGCCACCAAGAGCTCCCCCGGAGCGGCAGGAAACCCAGGTGCGCGGGCTGCTAAGGGTCTGACATCCCCACAATCGGAGGTTGTGGGTCAGAGGCCTCGTGGATGCTTGTTTGGGTCTCTTGGGACGTCTCCCGGGAGCCTCTTGGAGGCAATGTTGAAGCCTCTTGGGGCCTCATGGGGGCGGCTTGGGGGCCTCTTGGGGCTTTCTCTGGGCCTCTTGCGGCCTCCTGGGGGCTTCTTGGGGGCCTGTTGGCAATCTTAGTGGCACCCTAGGGCCCATCTTGGGATTGTATTGGGGCTTCTTGGGAGCCCGTTGGACTGTCCTGAGGCGCGCTTGAGCCGCCTTGGGACTCTTAGGGGCCTGTTGGGCTGTCTTGGAGCGATCTTGTGGACCTCCTGGGCCGCCCTGGACGCTGGGAAAGGCCGAATGAGCGAATCTGTATAGATGTGCTTATACATGTCCAACAGCATAGACATATACATATACACAGGCATGCATACTTATATGTACGTTTACATGTACATATAACATACATATACGTACCCATATACACAAACAAGTACACGTCCATACATATCTACAAATTTGCACACACGTTTACATATACATATACATATACATTTGAATACACGTATGCAAATAAATGCACACATGCATGCACATGTACATGTACCTACACACAGGTACA